TAATTTTTTTTTTGTAATTTTTTTCTAAAATGCACTCAATTTATTTGTTCACATATTTTTATGAACCTCCTACCTCGGTGCTTAATCTGAAGGGCACGTGAGCTTATTCAAATTAAAAAATAGTAACTGTCAAATTCTGACATTTCCCATTTGCTGCCTGTCAACGCAATATTGAACCATTTCACATAATTTTTAACGATTCCGACACAAATTGCAAATATTTTCCTCAATTTTTTTTTGTGGGGGGTTTAGAAGCAAATGGGGGAAATGATAAATGAGCACACTCAGCTGGCTTAGGATTACGTAAAAGAGGCAAAAACAAAGTACTTAAATGAAAAGGATGAAAAATCGCCATACAAAGTAAGCAAGAATTTCGGGTATGTCAACCGTAGACGCGCGGGCAGCGGTTGGTCGGCAGTGTGACAGCAGAAAATTGTCGCCTTATTGAATATTTCTTGACTTAGCTGCTAATAAAGCTGTCAGTTTTTGCAATTTTCGCAGGCGGACTGCAAGAAAAATCGTTCGTCGGCTTTTTGTGCGATTGCCGGTGGGTCAGCGTTTGCGTTTTTTCCCCCTTTCTGCCGCGCATACATAATGGATTACTGTCATTACTCGCAAAGCGCAAAATATGTTTTCCACAGCACTATTATGGCTTGTTTTGCAACTGTGCACTGCTTTTACAGATTTCTTACGTGTCCTCCACCCGCTTACTGTTATTCATACTTTCAAACGTTTTTTGTTGCTTGCTTTCGCGTACACTTTGACAACTTACTGCTGCTTGACACTGGCACTTGCGCGTATAACCGTTTTATGCGCGTTTGACATGCAAATTGGCAATTTGCATAATGAAAATTATCACAAAACTCAAATTACCGAAATTATTTCGGTGCTTATAACAACAACAAGCGCCTACAAGTGTCACGCGTGTAATTTTTCGGCAATTTATTTACATTTACCTCAGTTTTTGGTTGTGGTTTAATACTATTTTGTGCAAATTATTGTGCTATTTGGCGCCGATGTCCCACCGTTCAATTACTTTGGATTTCAAACTATATATTCAGGCATGTTGCATGCCTCGCCCGCATTTAGCAGAAATTTATGTCGCAAATTTGAGTAATTAAATGCGAATTAGTAGCGCAAAGTGACATCAATGGGCACAATTATGGCCAACAGGCACGAATTGATGTGATAATGTGGCAACGCTTTTTGGAAGTTTGGTGATATGCCATATTTTGTGAAAAGCTAAAAAAATTATTTTGGAAAATTTTATATATTGTTTTACTATTTCACCAGTTTTTTTTATTTTGAAAAAAATTAAAAAAAAAAATTAAAAAAAATTTCATAGTTAAAATATAGCATTCCAAATAGCTTTTTATATTTAGCAAGTTTTGATGAAAAAATTTTTTTTGAAAATTAATTTTTTTTTAATATTAGAAAAGGTATTTTTTCGAGTTTCAAATAAAGCATTCCATTAAGTTTTTTATATGTAGCAAGTTTTGAAAATTAAAAATAAATAATTTTTGAAAATTTAAATTTTTTGAAAATTAAAGAAAAGTTTTTTTTAGCGAATTTTGAAAAATCAAATAAAAATATTGAAATTTTGATAAAAAAAATAAATAATTTCAATAGTTTAATTACAGTATTCCATTATGTTTTTCATTTCATTATGTTTTTGTATATTTAGCGACTATTGGAAATTAAAAAAAATAAATAAATTTTAATGTGAGTTTTTATAAAACAAAGCTCGAATAACTAGAATTCCGTAGTTGTTTTGAAAAATTAAAATAAAAAAATATAAAAATTAATATATGTGTAGCATGACAATACTTTTTTTTAATTTATCAATGTTAAAAAAAAAAATTTATTATGAGGAAAAAATATAAATTAATCATTCAAGTTTATATAAAACTAAAATATTTTTCAAAATACTTACATATTGTGTTTGTGTTGGAACTGTAAAAGAGGAAAGGTAATTAAATTAGTTAAAATCACTCAAAATCATTTTAAACAGAGAAAATCTTAATACAATTTTTAATATTTTGCCAAGCATAATGGTTTTCAAAAAAAATATAAATAAAATAAGAAATGCTGTGACCTCATCTTAATGGAAAAACTCTTATAATTTCACAGCATCGATCTTATGGTATACTGAAATGACTGACATGAGCTGCACAACAGAGAGCTAAATATTTTAAATGTTAGTTTTTGAGGTGTTAGAGCATAACTACTGATTCCTCGAAATCTATGTATTTACTTTTATTAAACGAGCCAAAAAGGTTGCCATTCATGTCGCAGTGACCTTTGCTTGCCTGCCAAGTTACCGCTAGTCACTTGACTACAATAGAGTGTGGTTTATTTATTTTTCAAATTTTGTCTTTGTTGTCTGCCTACTTTCGCTTTTCTTCAGCAGCTTGCCACACAAAGGCGAACTATAAAAGTGGCGATTTTGTCAAAGTGCCAAGGAAGTTGCACAAAGACATTGGCTGATTGCTTAAAGCTGGTGCGAGAGCAACAGGTGTATCGTTAAATTTACTCTTGCTAAACATTCCGGCTATGTTTGAATGAGTTTTGTCTTATTTGGCTGGGAATTGACTTAAGACGAGTGAAAACGGAAGGAAGACGTTTACTTTGTCTTAGTTTTTAGGTTACACTTTAAGATGTTGTGTGTCCGAGAGAGAAATTTTTACTAATATTTATTACATTATTATAAATTTAATTGTCTATTTTGTTTGTGGTTTCATGAAAAAAGCAATGAAGAAAAATTGGAAATATTAAAATTATTTTTAGCAATATTTATATATCAATTATAAAAAATTTAATTCTCTTAACACAACTCGTAGAAAATTAAAAAAAAAAAAAAAAAAAAAAAAAAAAAAATATGTCACTCTACCAAAAGATTTTTAACAGCTGCCTACCCCCACGAGACGCATGCAAATGCAGCCTCAAAAAGCATATCTTTTTTGAGCTGCTTGCTCCCCGGAGGCGCAGGCGAGGCTTTGTGCGGCGAACCTGATATGACGAAAATAAATATTACAAAAAAGCGAAACACACACGCATTGCTTTTAACTTATGAAAAACTGTTTTATATTTTGTTTTTCTCACTGTAAAATACATAAAATTTCCATACAGCAGCATATTCGCTTAAGGTCAACAGCGCGTATGAGTAACCCTTTGCAGCAATTCAATTAAATAAAACTGTAATTTCGTACATTTGTTTTTCATTCAACAAAATTTAATTTTTTAAAGCACTTAACACATAATTTACTGCAATTATTTAATCCCAACTAATTTTCGTGTGCACTTCAATTATGACAAACGCTCAAAAAGCAGCTGCGCAGCGTTAAATGGGCGGCTATTGAGTGATTATATTTTATATACAAATATTTATGTACATACATATAAATGAGCACGAAAAACTAAAATCAATTTGACTGTGCAATTTTCAACAATAAAATACACTTTTGCGGTTAAATTTAATTATTTATGTCGCGGTAAAACCGCACAAACCATTAACATTTGATGCCAAACTGCTGGCATGCAAGGTGGTCGCAATTACAATATTTTTAGCTTTGTCCACTAATTTCAAATACATGTAATTTATGCTTGCTTGTGTGTTTGTGCATATAATTAAAATATGCAGATTTAGTGTGGTTTATCCACGCATGAAATTTCAGCGATTTGTCAGGTGTGGGCAAAGAAGAATTTCTGGTTTGGGTGTTAATGAAATGTGAAACGTTTAGTGAAAGCAGTTTTTACATAAAGTATGGTACATAAATCAAAGCTTTATAAATTCAATGAAAATATGTAAATTCATGATATGAGATAATTTCGTAATATGAGAATTTAAAACTTAATATTATATGTTTTTCCATTTGCTTTGAATAATTATAGTTTTCACAAAAAAAAATTCCAACATATAATTTTCCCAATTTTTTTCGAAACATAGCATTCTAATGTTGTTTTTAATGTTTATTTATATTTTCCAAAATATAATTTTTCCAAATTTTTCGAATTTATTGGTTTTGTTTTCAAAAAAAATTCTCAATTTTTTCCAAATTTGTTTTCGAAACTTTCAAGTTCCGAAAATATTAGTCTTTTCTGAAACAAAACTTTCCAAATATTTTTAGCATTAATTAGTTTTAAATATTCCAAATATTTTTTAGCATACGTTTTCCAAAAAAAAAATGAATATTCTAAAAAATTTTGTTTCCATTTCTTTTTGGATTCATTAAAATTTTCGAAACAATAATTTATCTAAAAATGTAATTGAAAAAATTTATAAAAAATTCTTCATAAATCGATACACAATTAGAACCGATTCTCCACCAGAAGCAATCAACAATTTGCTCTTGAATTTGTTGTGCCAATTTTTTATGCTCAAGCACCTGGCGGAACCCAACACATACAACCGCTAATCGAACAAACACCTTGACTGTGGCACGCTGCTTTGGGCGCAGTGGCATTAATCGACACCGTAAAAGGCTTGAAATTCAGCAACTTCTTTGTTGTTTTCTTTACCTTATGTGATGCTGGGGTATTTTGTATGCATAAATGAGCATTCAATGCTGACCATTGGCATAAAAAAAAAACAGGCAAGCCAGTCAGTTCAATGGCATTCCGAAGTATTGACGCGCTACTCAAAAGTGAGCTGCTTGCAAGCGTCAAGTGTGAGATATGAGTCAACACATTAAGCTGCAGAAATATATTGCTAAAGATTGGAGGTAATAAATGGAATTAGAAATAAATATTTGCAAATAAACTTTTCTTTTTGATTATAAAAATCATTGATTTTAATACAAAAGTATATAGTAACTACATTCTGAAAATTAAAATATTTAAAAAAAAATTTTTCAATTCAAAAAGAAAAAATTTTAAAAAAATTATTTTTTTCGTTTTTGATTATAAATACTATATAATTTTTTAATTTAAAAAAATATGTGCAGCATATAAAAAACATACTCAAATTGTAGTACAAAAAAATTCTGAAAATTCGAATAAAAAATTTACTTCAAATAATTAAAACACTATTTTCACAACAACTAAATTACTTTCCTGTCAATACGCTGTCATTAGCTACTTACTTGTTGCTGCAACAGCGTGGTCGGCACTTTCAGCTTCTGCTGAGTGACAAATGGTGGATTTTGTAATTAAATTTAATTAAAACCACACTAAAGCCACACTACAAACTGTCACATCAATCAAAGCAAATGGAAATGTTCAAAACACCGAAGAGCGCGCGCGAGCGTAATTGAGTCGTAAACAAGCATATGAGCGAACGGAGAATATTACGACTGCGTGATACAGCGCACTGATGGCGTTTGCGGCAACGTGCAACAAAATTGAAGTGTCAAAATTTACTTTAAAATATGCAGTTTTGAAAATGCGTAGGGGAAAGGGAGAGTGGCAAATGAAGTCCTATGTTAGAAATCTTGTGAATGCATTGAGACAGAGGTAAATGGTGGTTGTTGTTTTTGTTTTTATTTGACACTTCTGACAAGCTGTTAAATCACAAATGCACTTCACACGGCAGTTATAGATATGGGATAGTCTTTTAGTGATTTTTTTTTAAATTTCTAAATATAACTAAAGTCAATTTTGAGACTTAAGTACTCGTATATACAAACTCTTTTAATTTCTTAATATCTGGAAATATTTCAAAATGATTTTGAAACCGTTCAGAATTTGTTTAATAATTTATATAATATCAATCAGCTTGTTAACCTTTCAGTACTAAAATATTTAAAAAATATAACACTTTCTCAAAAATTTTGGACGTTTTCTTATTAATAATAATTTTTTTCGAAATATATTTATACTTGCGGAAATATTTTACAATTTTTGGTTTTTCTTTGATTTTTTGAAGCTTTCGTGTTTTTGAATTTTTTTAAATTTTTTTAAGTAATATTAATCAATTTTAATAAATTTGATTGTGTTCGATATTATATTTCGCAGTTTTGAGTTAAACTTTTTGAAATTTTTTTTGGGAAATTTTTCGAAAAAAAATTTGTTTTTCAAAAACAAATATCTGTGGTTTCCAAATTAAATTTCAAAAATGTCTACAAAAGTATCCAAAGGAAAAAATTATTTTTTAAGGAAAATATATTGAAAAAAGGTTTTAAATTTATAAACAGAATATTTATAAAAAGCGTTTCGAATTATAATAATTTAGCAAAAAAACCAGCATCATCAAAATAAATAAATAAGTTTTGAGTACAATTTTTTGAAATTTTTTTTGGGATATTTTTCGAAAACATTTTTTTTTTATTCAAATACAAAT